ACTGACTTTTGACTTTAGTCACATTTCAAAATTGTCCGCCTTTTCGAGTTGCCAACGCCAACTGAAAACCTCCCAATTTAGGTCCTGAATTTTCTGTTGGACCAGCCGTGTGTCGTCACATTGAAGAACTTTTCCTATTCCATGGATGTTAATCTTACAAGTTTTAGCTCATTCTTCCCAATTATTGACGGTAAACTCTGTTTTCAACTGAATTAGCCGGCTTTAGCTATTTGCAATGATTTCTTCCACGTCCAATCCACCAAATGAATAAAAAGGTTTACGAAGAGCCAACCGTTGGTTGGCTTTGGGGATGGAATGGGCATTTAATTTATTGACAACCATTGTTTTATTGAAGTAAGAGATCTACTTCTCCTCTATAGTAACTACTTGGTGCAAAATGAACGAATTACAGAGGCATGAACATCTCTCCGCTTATCCTTGTTATAATGCGGGAGTTTACGTAGTTAACTGAGGATCTGATTCAAACATCATCCCCATCCTGATTTTGGCTCATCATTTAACCTATTACTGGCCGTTTTAAATCTCTTAAACCAAAATTGACAGAAACAGAGTGCGAGTACGTGATCAGATATTTCGGTAATGCCCTTAGTAGTCCTGTGATCGGTCGGTTCCTGATGCTCATAAATAATGTCTGAGAATTTGTCTAGTTAGAAAAATCCTACGAAACTGTCTCCATCAACGTGTCTGGACACAAACAGAACCCCAACATCTCTTTGTAAACCACACAATTTCTTATCAGTATCACTAACATCATTTTTCTTAAATTGAAGCCAACAAAACTGTAAAAAATCCTTCTTTTAAGAGAAATGAATTAGACCCTAGTTTCATTATTTTGAAGTGAGAAATAGAACCTACTTGGGCCTTTAAAATAGGAGCAGTTGAAAGTGAACAGTTGGAAGGCGTTCAACCCTGAGACAGTTTCACTCAACCCCAATAAGTGCGATTTTAAATAGCTTTTAATTGATATCTTCAACATGTAAATGCCGCATTATTATTAACGCTAATCGTAAAATAAGAAGGAGGAT